TCTTTATCTTTCCGCTGTACGGACCGGAGACAGAGCCGTGTCGGGTGGAGCGCAAGGCGAGGGATGCTGTTCCGTTCAAGGTACCTCCAAGGCAGAACTGCCAGCAAACCAATACATTTCGTCTCAAAACTTTCCTCCATTGGGTCTCGGACTCTCCTGTGTTTGACTTCTGTTCCACGAAGAAGTTTTAGACGGTGAAAGTTGAGTCGAAGGCTTCGTCTCATCTTAATATTTCATCCAGTCGGTCCCGGCCATGTCGGGTAGAGCGCAAGGCGAGGGACGCTATTCCATTCAAAGTACCTTCAAGGCAGAACTGTCAGCAAAACGATACATTTCGTCTCAAACTTTTCCTCCACTGGGTCTCTCTCTCTCTTGTGTTTGACACTTATTCACGAACTAAAGCAAGTTTCATGTGGTGGAAATCGAAAGCTTCGTCCCATTTTCTCTAGCTGTACACTGGGTACCTCTACGGCCATGGATTATACACCGCCTGCCTGCAAAGTCACAAGTATATAAGTAGGTAACGAGACTCTCTTCTCTTCTTATGTCATTGCTCATCTTCCTCTCTCCGAACCATTCGCAACATCACATTCACCAGCGTCTCGCGGCGGCTTCAACAAATTCTGGATCAAGCAATACACCTGACTTCATTCATCCACAATCAAATCGACCCACGTCAGCTACCTTGAGGTAGGTCGTTGCAAAGAGGTATCATTGTAAATTCGAATCCCCCATTTCCTCCAGTCGGGGCCTCATCAAATTCTGATACGAGCCTGAAATACAGGTTACCTTCAATCACCACCCAATCTTGCAATACCTACCTAGGTATCTATCTTGGAGTACACTACCGATCTACTGCTCCCATTTGAATCATTCACGACATCATGGCATCCATACCTTCATCGGACAACGCCAATGATACGGCCATGACGAACGCTCTATACGAGCACCAGACAACCCTCCACGTTCGCAAGGCGTCCAACACACCCCCGGAGGTGAATACATCCTCGCCGACGCCGCTAAACCTCCTCAACTCCTTGATGATGAATATATCGATTTTCATGTCGACGAAAGACATACGGTGTTTGTACGCGATGGACCATGCATTGCGGGAGCTGGGGGAGGTTCGCGCAGAGGGTACCTCTGCCACCCAAGACAACGATATGGTGTTGGAGGCCATCGATCATGTTGAGCTCCTTGTTGCCTCTGGACAGGCGCTGGATGATGCAGAGTTGGGAGATGTGACCAAAGCATGCCAGGTAGGTCTCGTTTATTTCCTGTTTTCTTTCTTTTTCCTTTCGCTAACCGGATATACCTCCCTACCGCAGATGCTCTGGCCTTCCGACGCCCAAATTCTCACGCAGGAGCGCATTACATGGATCCATAGGAGCATGCAGCAGGGTATTTTGGCAGGCAAGCCAGCCTTGTTGGCGAATCATTTCCAAAATTTCATCGTCTATTGCTGCATGAAGTTGGAAGAATTGAGCCAGCCTCCCCAGCCGGACTCAGAAACATCGAGCTGCATCATCCAGGCCGCATACCGCTGGGCCCGGCGGGGTTCTGGAAAAGACCGTCCGGAAATTCCGGTTATCAACATGGCCAACCCCATTACGCCATTCGCCCAATATATTGCTGCTACGATCGGAGACTTGGAAGACTTCCGTGACGAGATCCAGATTCGTCTGGACATTGACAAACAAGAATACGGCGGATCGTTCGTGGCCCTTAGAGCAGCAGAGTGCGGGGATTACATGGAGAAATGTTACGAACTCTTGGCGTCGACCACAGATCACGATGAGGCCAAGGCGGCCGCAGACGATCTGGGATATTTGTTCAAGATTCAATCACAGGCCCAGCAGCACGAGATCTTGAGAAGGTTGGAGGATACAATACGCCGCCACAAACAGTTTCTGAACATGCTCAAGGGCAACGAGCTCGAGTTTGACTCGGACGAGCATGATATGAAAGTTGCGGAAGAAGGATATATTAAAGATGAAGGGCAGCAGCAAAGTAGAGGTGATAAAGCAGTGGAAGATGCAGTCAACACTTCCTAAGAGCCACCCACCCCTGCTACCTACTGGAGCGACTTCAATTCTCGTTGTCGCGGAAGGTCCACAACGGGCCGGAGGATGGTTACCTCTACAGTCCATGGGGATGGTAGTAACAACAGGCCACTACTTCACTTCAATTGAAACCTTGAAGACACCCTGGGTTATTTTCATAGGTATTTTTTCACTTTCAACATGGCCGCCGAAACGGGCCAGTATCTACCTACTTTCCCTCCCCTTGGACGAGTCTAGACTAGTGGATAATTCATTACCTAGCGACGTACGTCCAGCATTCTAAGTTATGCACCTAAGAACCTGGAAGGAGCACGAGTGAGGCCTCTAGTTGGGAATGCATATTGGGAGAGTTTAGCTTTAGGAAACAGGCTGGGGTCAATAGTTATAGGAGGGATGGGAAATGCATTAACCGTTAGGAAGGGATTAACTCGCGAGCACATCTAGAAAATAGGGCACGATCTGGACCGCATGAAGGTCAGGGTCTCTATGTTGTCGGCCGGCGCATCGCGCGATGCAAAAACATGTGTTTTTTTGCCGTGGCCATTTCTCTAGACGTACCTCTAGCTTTAGTTTTCCATCTACACACAGTTCAGTACTGGTTTATTTGTTAGCTCGAGACCTCGTGTCAACTTTCCTATGCGTTTTCATAGCTAACTAATGCGTGATCTTACCTTGAAAATGCAATTTCTGATATCCAAAATGCCATATCAAATCCTACTAATACCTTCATCATTCGTACTGATCATTTCGATTCGTCCTTGCGAGGTTTAAGACTGTTCGGGATAGATTTCGTCAAGTGTATATGGTATAGCGTACGGTACAGTAGGTACCTATAATAATGTACCAAGCTAACAAACAAACAAACAAACCAGTATTGGACTGTATATAGCGCACAGTGACCCAAGTCGTTCGTGGGCTCAAATGAAGAGGCTTGATTGAATAAAGTTCCCCAAGACCTGCAAATACCATTAAGGTCGAGAAAACAAAGAAAGTGAAGTTTGAGCCGGTGGTCGTCAGCTTTATCCTGGAGGTGATGTCATGTGGTCATGCTGTGATACCTAATACCGCTGTGAGCTCCATACGATTCATCCAATCAATATGAGCCCACGTTGACATGCACAGCACCTTGAAACTTTTTGGTGTTACTGCTTAGATGGTGGTATATAGGCTTGGTCTAAAAGGCATTAATTCAATAACAAGCACTAATCACTTTGGCGGGGAGGTTAACGCGTCAAAGGTTTCAATTATTTTGTCCACGACGAGTCAAGGTACTTGCCAAATGTTGTAGGCGGGTTGTGTAGTGTAGATTGAGGGGTTGGCGATGTTGACTTGAAGACTCTCGTTCGTTGCAATTCGAAAAAAGAAACTCAAGTCAGCTGTTTGGTGATGCCCGCGACATGTGCTCAGCGCCTTGTAATGAGATCAACCTGGCCGCCGTAATACTCGCTGCTAACAAATTCAAGGCATGCCCGCTGCCAATTTGTCTACGTTCCATAGTTGTTATAAGACCACCCCGATCAAGTTTCATGACCGAAAAGGGCCTATGACCTGCCGTTGGACGCTGAGAAATTTCTGTCGACTTGACCGACGATGCTCGGCTACAATGCAGATACCTAGGTATACTGGTTTCAAGGCCAGGGTTTCGCGGTCATTGAACAGGCATCTACAAGATAGCAGCAGGACTGAAATACTATGGTGAGCAGTAATAAAGTTTAGAGATCTAGTTGGCTTGCCGAACGAGTTATGGTCAGTACATTAGACCTTGTGTATACTCCTGTCATGCATTCAAGCGTCTTGATTATACCTTTGCACCCGACTCCAAGGTAGATCCTGGATCACAAAATCCCTGAAAGACTCCAGCCAAAGTGTTTCCGAGTTATTGTAATCCCTGTCATGTCAAATCATAGTACCATAGCAAGATACCTAGCATGTCGATGAAAACCCAAAGCTTCAAGCATAGATGCATACATCGACACAAATGCCCCTTGGCCAAAATAGCAATCACAGCCGGTTTACATGCCAAGCCCTCCACATACGCAGCCCCACATTGATATCCACAACATCATCCACATCCATCCTGCAGCTTTCAGCTTGCCATGCTTTGGCTGCATATAGCCTCAACCATTGAACTTACAATTCAACAACAATAAGCACTTGTCACTTTGGCGGAGTGGTTAACGCGCAGCCCTGCTATTACTTAATACTAGGCTGTGTCTTCGGACGCGCAGGTTCGAATCCTGCAGGTGACGTCATCATTTTGGCCTTTTTTTGACGTTCTTGACGTCTAAATGCTTCCTTTTTGTTATTTTTGATGTTTTCCTTTTTATATCGGTTGAATTGGACGTTGAAAGGGTGATGAAAGGCTTATTGTGAAGTGTGGTGGTGGTTTTGAACTCGGTTTGCAGAAACCATGGAAGGTACACCACACCATACGTGCAAAGTAAGGCAAGTGCATTCACTCGCTTCGCGCCTTCCCTTTTTGCAGGTGACGCCTTGCTGCCCTTCGCAACGCAGACGCCTTTGCTTTTCCACGCAACTGGCAAACATTGCGATCTTCGGATTCCTCGAACGATGCAAACAATTCAATTCAACCCCGACGACGATGATCAGGACGCCTTTCACAATGGCCACACAAACACACCATGGTAATTTCCCACGACAACGGGTACCCATACCGAGCTGAGGACAAGGGACAAGCCAATGAGATGGCTTACTGCAGTTCGCTTCGCAGGTTAGCGACCATTCCATCCTTCCGCAGTCGTTCGACAACAGGTGCGGAAAGGTTCCCAGCTATCGATCCCTAGGAGCGGGGTACACTAAGAGAGAGCGACACGAGGCGAGCGAGGGAGGCTAGACTTCCTGGTCCAACATCAGGCCATTGTTGATGTTCTAGGTGTTGACGACGACAAGAACGAGGCGAGCGGGTCCAATCGGCTGCTTCACCGTATATTTGGATTTGGTCGGTTCGTGGCCGAGGCTCAAGTTGTACGGGACTACTGCAGGAACGGAAGCGATACAAGAAGGGGGGTATTCCCATACCACTTGGACATTGACAGGACCAAGGACCACTCATCCATCTCTCATCGCATAGCCAAAAGACAACACCACTCATCATGACAGACCCAACCATCTCCACGGCCATTGCCTCAGCAATCCAATCCAACAAATCCGAAATCGCCCTCATCAACACCCACATCCACTCCAACCCCGAACTCGCCTACCTCGAATTCACCGCCCACTCCACCCTCGTCCACTCCTTGCGGCGCCTCGGCGGCTTCACCGTCACCTCCCCCGCCTACGGCTTGCCCACCTCTTTCGAGGCTGAATACGGCTCCGGCGGCCGCTTGATCATCTTCAACGCTGAGTACGACGCCCTTCCCGAGATCGGCCACGCCTGCGGCCACAACCTGATCGCCTCCGCTTCCCTCGCCGCCTTTCTCGGTGTAGCCGCGGCCCTCAAGCAGTCCGGCCAACCAGGTCGTGTCCGCTTACTCGGGACCCCAGCCGAAGAAGGCGGCGGGGGTAAACTCAAGTTAATTGAGGCTGGCGCATATAAAGGGTGTGATGCATGCCTCATGGTTCACCCGGGGCCACAATCCAAACTCCCTTCTGGCATCACAGCCGTTTCGTACGTGCGCATGCTAGCCAACGTCAAGTATCGTGTTTACTTTACCGGTCGCGAGGCGCATGCTTCTATAGCTCCCTGGCATGGCGTCAACGCCCTTGACGCCGTTTGTCTAAGTTACAACGCCGTCAGCATGCTTCGCCAGCAGATTAGACCAGAAGAGCGCATCCACGGTATTTTCAGAGAAGCAGGCACAAGGCCGAACGTCACACCAGCCGATTGTTGCGTGGAGTACTACGTCCGCAGCACCACAAGACGCGGCGCCGAAGAGTTGGGGAAGAGAGTACTGAAATGCTTTGAGGGCGCTGCGCTAGCGACGGGGTGTGAGTGGCGGAAGGAGGACTTGCCGGCTTACTTTGATGTTCGCCCATCGAAAGCGTTGTGCAAGGCGTGGATGGAGGCCGTGCAACCGGCTGGATCGGTGGCGTGGGAGGACCCTACAGATTTCTTCCAGGGGAGCACGGATATGGGGAATGTGTGCTATGAGTGTCCGGGGTTTCATGGTGTGTTTGGCATTGAGACGGAGGATGGGGCGGCGAATCATACAAAGGGGTTCACAAAGGGGGCGGGGACACAGGACGCGTTTGAGAGGGCGTTGGAGTGTGGACGGGCGATGGCGGAGGTTGGGTGGAGGGTTCTGGCGGATGAGGAGTTTGCGGCCGAGGTGAAGAGGGAGTGGGAGGTGGATATGAAGGTTGCGGAGGGGAATTAAATATTATATTGGGTTCGGTGTCGAAGGATGTGGGAAGTTAGGATGGTAGTCTATTTCTACTTTCGGCGTTTGGTTTTCAGTGTGATATGGCTGGCAGTTGGGGGACATAGGCCCTTTTTAGCTCCAATTCATGATGAGCGATACCTTTTGGCTTGATAAATGCGCGTGTTCAAGGATTTACCATATGGTTCACAGCTAAAATATGGCGGTGTTTTTTTAGTAATTTGTTCGAAAGAAAAGAATAAATATGTTCCCGGCGTAACTCCTTTGATGATATATACACTAATGATTGACTCTGCCATGCTTTGTATCATTTACCGGCAACTATTCTTCACGAACAACCTTCTCCTTCAACCACACTCACCCACGCTCCCAAGGCTTGGATCCAACTCCGTGTCCCGTGTCCTTATCACCACCCCATCACTGATTCCCAACAACAAACCTAGCCGTAGCAATCCTCGTCCTCTTCCCGTACCAAATAACTGGTATCAACAACAGAGACAGCACGCCCAAGATGGCCGTGAGCCCGCCAAAGGGTATCAGATACCCTTGCTTCGCAACCCACTCGCTAACAAAGAAGGTCCAGACGAAGGGGACAAGGCCGCGCGATATGCAGATCATGACGAAGCAATCGGAGGCCAAGTTGGCGTAGGAGTCAATGAGCTGTTGTGTGTTTAGTATGAGGGATCCTCGGGAGAATGATATGATGATGGGAAGGAAAGGAAAAACTCACATAATTAAACCAAACCCCCGGCACCCCAGCCATCCCAAAGCCGACCATCCCAAACGCAAACATCAACCCAAGCCAACTATACCTATTCACTCCATACCCTCCTCCTCCATTCCCACTGCCCAGTCCCGGTCCCACACCCACCGTAACATTCCCATTCCCACCACTTGTGCTATTATTCCCAGCAGCAGAAGCAGCAGCTGCGTCCAAAGCAGGTCCATACTCCCCGCAAAACCCCCAAACCAGTAACCCGGCCGTGGCAATCACCAGCCCAGGCAACGCAACCATCAACCTACTTTCCGCCTCTGCATACCCGTAGTCACTGTTTCCGCTACCAAATAACCTCTCCCCCCAGCTTTTGATTCTCTCCATCTTCCCACCTGTCCTTCCTCCCCTCTCCCCTCTCCTTCCCCTACTGCTACTTCCCCTTCCCCTCCTAGTGCTTCCTCCTCCTCCCCCTCCTCCTCCCCCTAGTCCCTGCCCCCCTCCTCCAAGTCTCTCCCCCCTTGTACTTGCCCCTCCCCCTCTCCCTCCTTCCCCTCTAGCCCTTCCCTCCGAGGTACCAGCAACCCCCCCTTTCATCTTCTCATCCCCCACCACAAATACATACAGTCCCCCCAACACGATCCCCATCACCGCCCCACCAAACAATACCGCCCCTGCATGGTCTGGAGTCCAGTAATAAGGCGCTGAAGCCAGCAGCGAAGGTCCGAGTGTGGATAAAACGGAGACGGAGCCGATCAATAGGGAGGAATGTAATGTGGCTATCCAGACGGCCGGGAGACGGAGGGTGAGGATGGGAGACAAAAAATGGCGCCAGAGGGATTTGGGGGTTGTGGTTGTTCCAGGGAAGGGGAAGGGGAGTATTTGCGTGGGACTTGAAGAGGGGGAGGAATCAAAATGGAAGAAGGAGGGTTTAAGGATAGTAGGATTATGACGGGGACGGAAAACGGGGTTGGGGTTGGGATGCAAATTGGGATTAGGACTGAAATTGTGGGGGGAGTACTGGTAAGTGGAAGAAGGGGATAATTCGGGAAACGGGAGGTCGAAAGGGGTGTGGGGTGGAGGCGGCCGCTGGCGTGGAGGAAAGAAGATGAAGAAGCGGAGGGAGCGGAGGTAGGTGTAGGGTTCGTAGTGGGTGGTGGGTGGATCTTGTGAGGAAGGGACGGAAGAAAAGACCGAGTTGCCACCATTGTTGAAGGGGGAGACGAAGGCGCCGCCGCCGTGGGTGAAGAAGTGATTTAGATGGTCGTTAGTGTCTCTCCGGGGTGGTGCCGGTTCGTGGCACAGGATTGGACGCATGTCAACCTCGGAAGGAGGAAAGAGGCGGTAGCGAGGTCTTTGGGCGGTGGCTCGTCGTGCTGAGATTCCTCCTGGGGAAGCAAATAGGCCACCGGCAGCCACATCTCGTCCCCCTTGCGCCGCTGCTGCTGTAGGTGGCGGCGGCCGTAGAACCGTTGGCAATGAGGACTCCCTCCCGTGACCACCCATGGAGAGCCTCTCCTCCTCAGACTCATCCTCATCCTCCGACTCCGAGGCTGTTTCGTACCAAGTCAGCCCTAGTCGTGGATCCCAGTAGTCCCGGAAGTACTGAGGTTGGTTTGTATTGATGTTCAGCGGGGTATAGACCGAGGTGATGAATCGTGACGGCATCGTCATTCGTATGGACGGTAATGTGCCCAAGCTGAGATACGGTGTGCGAGTAGGTTGAAAATAGTATCGTCGAACGCTCGATCTTCGGTTGCTGTGGCGGTACTGCCCATCAACACCTCCGCCGTCAATTTCCTTTTCTTCTTCCGCGATGTCGTGGTGGTGGTTTCGATGTTGTCCATGTCGATGTCTATGCCTCTCTTTCCGACAAGCAGCTGCAATCGCCGGGAAACACAACGGGCCCCTTTCAAACAGCGTCTCCGGAACCAAGAACACCATTGCCAGCAACGCCACTCCTGTCAAAGCAGCAGTCACCCAAAAGATACCGAACCATCCGTATCTCGTGGAAATGTATCCTCCACATATCCCTCCTATTGCCGATCCGCCGGCCAAAGAAGCGGTATACAGAGCCTAAGTAGACAATCGTCAGCATCGCACTAGGTCTCCTACTCCCATCTCTCTTTCTCTCTTTCTCTGGAAAGCAAAAAGGAAAGACCTACCATCCACCTCCCCCTCTCCCTCACAAAAAACATTTCCCCCACCACCACCGGCCCCAGCGTCTCCGACACACTACTCCCCAACCCCTGAAAGATCCTAATGACCAACATCCCCTCATACATCATCCCCCTCCTCCCTTCTTTTCCTTGAATCCCATTATCTCGCGTCCCACAAGCCGTCGCAACAAACAGCATCAACACACTCCCCACCAACACGATCCTCCTCCCATACGCATTCGCCAGCGGCACCAAAAAGATATTACCCAGTCCCAGCACGAGGACATTCAGAAAAGTCAACCGACTGAGTTCTTCGATTCCTCGTGCATCAGAAGGGAAGGATACGTTCCATACACCTAAAGCGGGCGCGAGCGAGGCGGAGGCAAAGGAGCAGACAAAGGCGTAGTAGCAGAGGCTGCAGAGACAGGAGAGTTTGCGCCATCGGGCCCAGTTGAGGGGGTCGGAAGGGTCTGACGTGGGGATAGGAAATTGGGTGTAGTCGATTTGTTGTGGTGGTTGGGTATGGTTATGGTTATGGTTATGTTCTTGCGGCGGTTAGGGGGTGTCAGTTGTAATTTGGTCATTAACCAGGTGGGGGGAAAGTGACGGGCAGTAGTAAGGTAGAGTAAGAAGGGGAGAGGTGAACTGGATGTGTGGGGGTGTATAGCTAAGGAAGGTACCATACATACCAAGAAGCCTCACGACGGTCCCCGGCGGGGTGGCGGCTTTGACCGCATCTTTGGACAAAGCAAAGGCATACCTCCAGCCAGGCATATCGGTACTGCTGCTGCTGCTGCTGCTGCTGCTGCTCCTGCTGGGATCGATACCACCAAAGAGGTCGTCAAATTTGTCAATTCCCCCGGGGTGGTTTAACTTGGTGCTTCTGGCGTTGGCGGTCAACTGTCGAAGTGTACGGGCGTCTTCTTCTTTTCGAGCATTGGCTGGTGGATCTGAACCTGCCCGCCGTAGACGACTCGCCGAGTCAGTTGCGAGAAGAAAGCTATATCGAGGGCCAAACGTAATCATTCAAGCCAATTTCAACCAAATAATCAGAGAGATGCAGCCAGGGCATCGAGAGGGAACCGGGAATTTCCCCCAACGGGAGGGGAAGGGGAGAAGTAACAGAGGAAGAAGAAGAAGAAGAAAAAGAAAAAGAGAAAGAGGAAAGACACTTGTTTCACGCTTGTGTATCTATCTGCTGTCAGAAAAGGCGGGGGGGGGGGGGGGGGGGGGGGGGG